AACGGTGTATTAGAAGTTAAGGATGGATAATGGGTTCTCAGAAGGGGGTTTGGAGAAAACATTATGTAATTAAGATCACAGAACACTTTGTTAAACTCCATGTAGGATTTACAAAGGGGAAAATCATACTTGACTATTAAAATTCTTTAAACAGAAGACAAATATGAGCAAATAGAACCATGGAGCATATATAAATGAGATGAAGGAGAATACTTTATTCAGCAAATCACAGAAATCTGAAATAATATCAAGACTTTAATATACAAGTATTTAATATTGGCATTTATCTGCTTGATCTGGGAGCTGGTACTTTTTGAAGAACACTAGTGGATACATAAGCTGTAAACCCTTTTCAACTCGACAGATTAAGGAGAAAACATGCCTTTGAGGGGTTGTAAAATGGTGGGTTCTTACCTGATCAGAGAGTTAATCAGATTAAACTGGCACTACAAACTGAGGACTAAGAGTGGTTTTATAAGCAAGTAGAAGATTTTTAAGATAAACAGAAGCACTTGTTATAAGGCAGAGGCCACAAAGGCTTAGGTTTACCCTACTTACAAGAAAATCAGCCCAAAGAAATAATAAAAAGGAACTTTACCTTCCTAACTAAAAGAACTCATTCAGTCCCAGCACATTACACACTGAAATGCAGCACATTATAAAATGAATTTTTGCAGTAATGTATAAAGGAAAATGTTTTTAATAAAAATGCTGTTAAAATTAGGTTAGTTTTATCAGCCAATGTTACAATGCTAGGGTCTGGAATATGAAAAATGTCTTTTTAAAAGTTACTATTTCCCCCAAATATCCATCAGTAGGAGAATGGTTAAATAAAGTACGGTACACCTGAACAATGAAGTACTATGGGCTGTTGTAAAAAGGAATGGAAAGATCTCCTTATGCTGCTAAGGAGCAATCTCCAAGATACACTGTTCAGTGAAAACAGCCAGGTGCAGAGGACTGTGAAAGAAGTATAAAGAAGAAACTTGGAAAAGAGGTAGGAATATATATATGTATCTATGACCCCCTACAGCCTCCAAAAAACATCACCAATGGAAGAAATACAAAGAGTGGTCAGGAATGGAATTTACACCTGCCTGACTATAACTTGGTTTTATAGTTTTGACTTGGGACAAAGGAAATGCTTACTAGTAAAACAAAATTAGATTTAAAAAAATTTAATACTGTAATTGTTATTTTGAAATAAACACACACATTATAGATAAAGCAAATGAGTTATCACGCTAATGCCTTTAAGAATCAAGATTTTTGGCATAATAATAAAGATATAAATATAAAATTGAGGAAATTAAGTAAAAACCCTATAATATTTCATTTGAAGTGAAACTACTAGCAAAAACTCACAATGTGTTTTTCTCTTTCAAAAATATATGTCTAAGTTTTTCCACTGAGAGTTTCATTGGCCAATTCTACCAAGTATTTAAGGAAAAAGTAATTCCATTTCCACAAACTTTCCTGAAAATTGAAGAGAGTGGATTACTTCTCAACTCATTCTATGAGGCCAGCATTACCCTCATACCAAAACCAGGCAAAGACATAAAAAAATTACAGACCAATACACCCAATAAACAAAATTAGAGGCTTAGACACTAGTGGGCCTCAACACTTAACTGTAAACCTATAGGAATCGAGACAGTGTGATACTGGCATAAGGACAGACAAATAGATCAACAGAACAGAGTCCAGAAACAGACCCACCTATACAGGTAGAAGTGACTTTTGACAAAGGTGAAAACAAAATCTAACTGTATACTGTTTATAAAATATACACCTAAACATAAGGATGCAAAAATCTTGAAAGTAAAAGGATGGGGAAAAAAATGTACCATACAAAATTAATCAAAAGATATCCTGTATAGCTATATTAACAGTAAATATGTACACATTAAGGCAAAAAGCATTGCTGGAAATCAAGAAGGATCCTTCATAACAACAAAAAGTTCATTACCCAGGCAGATGGAACAATTCTGAATTTGTATGCATCAAACAAAAACCTAAAAATACATAAAGTATAAAATGACAGAACTATAAAGACAAATCTGCAAACATGGTGGGAGATTATTAATACACCTCTTTTTGCAACTGACAATAATAATTAAAATTAACAAAGACACCTGAATGATTGGACACATATATGCGACACTACCCCAAAACTGCAACATATACATTCTTTGCAGGTATATATATCATACAAAAAAACAAACACATGATGAATCACAAAAAAGTCTCAACAACTTTCAAATGATTCAACTCATAATGAGAATAAAGTAACTTCTATGTGCCCATGAAACAGAGATAAACGGGAAACTAGAAAATATTCTGAACTGATAATGAAAATACATATCAGAACCTACAGCATACAGTCAAAGCATATACTTAGAATGAAATTTATAACATTAAAATGGGTATGTTTGGGGGAAAAGGCTGAAAAAGAGAGATGCATTAATCTTAAAAAGTCATAAAAAGAACAACAAATTAAAAATGAAGAAGTGAATAAAAAAGTTAAAGGCAGAAATTAATAAAGTGGGAAATAAACATACAATACAAAAGAACAAAAAGGCCAAAATCTGGTTCTTTGCAAAGGCTAATAAAATTGATAAACCCATAGAGAGAATAATCTAGGGGAAAAAAAAAGAGAGAGAAAACACAATTTCAGGAATACAGCAGAAGTCATTAACTCAGATAATAAGAGAATATTATCAATAACTTTATGACAATAAGTTTGGAGAGTAGGACAGAACGGAAGAATTCCCATAATATCACAACTCACTAAACCAACAGTAGAAAATATAACTGGTCCTAAAATCATTAAGGAAACTAAATCCATAATCCACGCCTTCTCACAAAGAAAGCTCCATTCCTAGAAAGCTTTACCAGCAAGCTCTGCTAAACATTTAAGAAGCCAATAATGCTATTTACATCATTCTAGAGACTACAAAAAGAGGAGACATTTCCCAAATAATTTTATGAGATCAACATAATCTTTCTGCCAAATCTGAGAAGGAAATGATAAGAAAAGAACTTAAGACGCAAAACTTGAAAGTATTAAATTGAATTTAGCATTAAATGCAAAAGAGAATACATCACAGTCAAACTGGACCTAGTCTAGCACGTCAGTTTAATGTTTGAAAAGCAATATAATTCACAACATTAACAGAATAAAAGAGAAAGATTCTACTACTTCTCAGAAACACATCTGATAAAATCAACATTTACTCACTTATATATTTTTGTCAAATTAGGAATAGAAGGGAACTTCCTTAATCTGATGAAGGATACCTCAATAAACAAATGCCAAACAACTTGATAGTCAAACGCTAAAAGCTGTCCTGCTGAGATCAAGAAAGAAGTAAAGATAACACTGTACTGGAGTTCTTAGAGTAATAAGAAAAAGAAATAAAGAATATATATATATATGCACACACACACACACAAACACAACAGAAAAGAAGAAATTAGAAATGTCATTATTTACAGATGATCTTATTGGGGTCACAGAAAACTCAAAAGAGAATCTACGAAAGGCCTTCCATAGTAGGCAGCAGAAATCTATTGCTCCTTCTGGGGGAAGTAGAAAAAAAACTGATTTTTTTAAAGTCACATTTTTAAAGATACCAGAGACCATGAAACCAATGAAGGCTAAATGAATTGATATTCCAGAAAGGAAAGGGCCATTCCTAAGTAAGTAAGCAAAAGCTCACGTACTGGCATTTCCTTTTCTACAGGTTTCCTATGCAATATTCCTCTTGGACATTAAATCCACAATTTGTGCAGATTTAGGGCTGAGGATTACACCTCTGGACA